TACACAGGACATGCTAACAGGAACGGCCTACAAAACAGGCGATTTTGAGCCAGATTCCGAGGATTTAGGGTCCTGTTAACTGTAATTTTAGGGCAGTTTTAGGGTTAATGCTAAGATTAGAGTTTCCTTTTTTGTACGTGTTACGCAGTAGGAATATTTACCCTTCCTGAATATTATCCCAGGGCCACTTAAGTTAAGTGAGCAGAGAGTTCTTTTTCCTTACCCATCCGACTCGCCGCCAGTGCAGAGTAGGTCTCGCGGACATAACTAGCAACAATTAAAGGGCATGGGTGATAAAAAGGACAATTATCGCCTTTTCCACAAGGGTTTCAACAAGCCACTACGCCACACACTCAAGATAATGGTTACTCACACTCGAATTTAGTTAAAGCGCAATCGGAGGCAGGGATGTTTGGTATGCAGGCGTAAACTGCAGTATCTGCATTGGGAATCCATCTGCCTCCGAATGGAGCATGTCTGCTGAACTTAATTCAATTGAAAAAAGCAAACTTCTGTGTTCATGGATCCTCTCTATATCTCCCTGAGATTGAACACAGGGACAGAAAATGTAGGCCGGCTGCCACCTATTGCCCGTCAATTCTTCTCACTTGGATGTCTAGATAACTTTGTCCAGTCCGTCCAGTGTTCCGACAAGCCATGCCTCAAACTTATATTCACTTTACCAAAAAGCATGTATTGGACTCTACGACTCTGAGTGCAGGTACCAGGAGTTTGGCTATAGCAACAGATGGGTCGTTTCGCCTATCTGTAAACTGTAAACAGTGTCTCCTATGGAAAAAGAGGAGAATCTCCGCTTGAACTTTATTGTTTTTTGAAGGCTCCTGGATCGTAGAGCTGTCTGTTCCACATTTTGCGTCTTGGTCTCTTGAGTTCTGATGCGCATGATTAACGCCGGTTGCCGAGTCCATGTTTTTCAGTTGATTACTGAAGCCTCCACCTTCGCCTTTATTTGGAGGCTGCGCAAGCATTAAAGCCACACCGAACTGCAAATATTGATGTTTTATGCACCCGAAGATGCCGTCTATGTTTTGCATCGCCTTTCCTATACATTTTGTTACTAATGTCTAATAGATGATTAGATTCCGTGTGAAAATTTGAAGTATGGGCTCGTGAGCGGTAGTTAAATAGTGATCGCCTTTCACCCAAGCGCACACTTGCATGTTTAAGTAGACGTAGGTAGGATTTCAGAGGATGGTCGTGCATTCAACAAACAGTGAACACTTCTGCATGCGCGCACCATCGAAGATTCACGACATGGAAAACAGCCACCACGTGTCTACTTGAGGTGGTGGCATACATATACGTAAGTCAGTGGGAGGCCCTCTCGGAGGATTTTTGACGTGGTATTTGTCTTATTCTACATTCTCTGTTATTTAAATGCCTTACAAAAACGTGTATGCTTATCTCTACATCGTTCTAATCAATATGCTTCTTTAATGACACCCAGTGATACCGGAGAAACTACAGAAAAGGGACCGCTTGGATTTGAACGGCAAGCAGGACTATTAATCGCATCCAGCAGTGATCAAACGGTGCACCAAAAGCCCGACCAGAAGCTGATCATAACAAATCCACGAGTTCGACGATACCACAGCACGGAAGCCTTTAGGAACGCAATGGAGGAAAAGGCAAAAGGTATAACAGCAATTGAGCAACTTTTAGCACAACAAATATTTTGTTTAGTTGAGCAAAAATCTAATGAGTGTATGCCCGAGTCCATGGCTATTAGTGAAGTGTTTATTTAATTTTGATTAAAACGACGAGAAGCGGAAGATCTCCAAAAATTTTGAATGTAAAATAAGAATACCAAGGCATTTTCTGTAGTCCCACCGCAATTCAGTTGTTTAAACTCTTTATCTCTTTTAGATGACACGCACACCGCAGAAATAAACGAGATTAAACGCAAACGGTGAGTAAAAAATTAACATCTATAACAACTTTATTAAGAAAATATTAATGCCCCTTCTGTAATTCTAATGCCGCTCTCATGCGTGGGCATAAGCACAGTCCTGTATGATAATTCCAAACCATCTTAAGCTTACATATTCAGAATTTTTTCAATGGATAAGGAAAGAAGCCTAGTTGTTCCGATATAAATTTTTAGCTTGTAGTAGTCATGCATTTATTGGAATTCTACAGGTACCTTAGTATTGGTAAGCACTCCATACGGGAACATTTTCTAGGTTTGCTCCCTAACATCTACTAGGCAGTGTTTTTTTGAAATGCAATATAAGGAGTAAAAAAACAGCTACTTGCCATTTTCAGTAGATGTGGCATTTCAATAATACAATGCTTTTTTTGACCACTCGAAGGCGCAGTCTTCCCTTCCGACCGTTTCTCTGGAGAAAAAGAGAAAAGTCAGAGAACGAGCCACTCGAGCGTCCTAACAAGCGGAGTGCGTCAAAATGCAAACCCCTACAACGCTTCGTTAACAAAAAACGGATTTCGTTGCCACCGGTTTTGAAAATGAATTTTGGACCCGACAAGGCGGACGGAGGAGACAAGGTTGTCAAGGCCAACCCCCAATTCCCGCAGTCTGCGGTTCACCTCCTCAACAAGGAACAGACCAGTACAGACGGCCAGTACTCCCGATACGTTCACATTCAACGTCAAGACGAAAACATGCCATTTGGCATTTTCGTAAAGAAGGGAACACATGGTATGTACCTACTATATCACTTTTAGTAATATCTCCCCAGAAAGAAATGTAAATTCTTCTAACTGGAACCGACTAACACAAAAAGGAGCAAAAAGATGAGGTTGGACACGTAACTTGACTCCAATGTGGTTCAATTTATGGCTCCGATGGGCCCCGTAGCTCAAGTTTTTAGGGCATTTGACCGTACTCACCCCCGTCCATTTCTGTCGTCGGTTCAAATCTCACTGGGGACATCGATTTTTCCAAATTGCTTGCCGCCGGTGGATTCATCTAGAGAGGAAAAAACTAGAGGTTAACGTCAAACAACGTCGACAGATTAAGCCATATACTTCCTTTGGTGTCGGTGGAGGCCTCGAAGAAGAAAAGGCCTCTTTGAATACCACTTACAATTCCTCGAGTGTGGTGAATTAATGCAGAGGTATCCGTAAGGAACGTCGCCTGTAACAGCAACGTCTAGCGTCCATAAGTTAACTCGAATTTAGCATGCAATTGGCATTCAAGCCTTTTCTCGGAAATCCCAAGAGGATTAACAAAAATTCGAGAATAGGGCCATGGTCATTGATGCGTGAATTTCAATATAATGAGGAAGAGTTTAGCAGCACAGATCTCCCTCAAGACTTCTGTCAATGCAGGTGACGGGCTTGCAACTTAGCATGCCCTAGAAGGTGACTAACACAAACCGGGCGTGGATCGGGGGTGACGAACGCGTGAATTTGACGATAGTGAGGAGAATTTGAACAGCAAAGATGTGCTTTTCCATACTAACTATTATCCAGCGCTAAGCCGCCATACATGGGCCCAAACGCAGTATATGACAAGGCATCCATCTCTGTTTCTCTCGCGACTCTAATCTCAGATACTAACATTCACTTACCGGGTAGATTACTGTAAGTTCATGTTAAGGTGCCATTACCAGCGCGTCCTGAACTATCGGTTATTTGGCAGGATTTGATACTGAGCCATCATAGTGCCATCAGATTTTTCATAATGAGGAAAACTCACATAGATGCCACTTTAAGCTGCTTTTCCTGCCTCGCTAGGTATCACAGATTTCGTCAATTTCACAGGTACTTAACCTCCCCGTTTTTACAGGTCTATAAGTGGCGTTGTAAAAGGACGTCATAACTCCTCCATGGACATTCATCTTCATCGAGTGTGTCCCGGTCGGTTCGTACTCCATCTATCTTATAGGGATTTCTATGATTTTGGCAGTATACGAAAGTCTACTAGGATTTAGATGTCCCGGAAGTCGCAATCCCCGATGGGGTCGGTAGATAAAAAAAAACACTAGAGAAGATTTGTGGGTGCGTCCATTCTGCGTGGAACCTGAGCAGTGATTGAGATTGAGGAATAAAGTCGCCAAAACTGAATATAGCTTGGAAGACAAGTGGCGTCGCACTTGCATTAAACAGACTTTGAATTTAATGTTATCAACCCCCTCTCAAGTATATTGGTTTTCAAGGAGACGGTTCAACATTTCCGAAATAGTCCCAATCATTTGATGCACAAAAGGCAGGGATACCTGTCCTATATAGTACATGTCAGCAATGCGCGGTCCTCAAAAAGAGTTTGCGAGCCCCAAAAAGTACATAGATTGCATTGAATCAATGTCCTGTCACAACCGGCCTATCTTATTACAGTGTACGTAGAGTTTCCCAAGTCTGATTATAACGTACCAGAAGAGCAGGTGCAAACGACGTATCTCTGTCTCTTCCAGCAAGCAATATCTGCTCCTGAACGTTGAGCAGTAACATTTACCTTAACTTATTTCAGGTTTTGTCGTCACCCGTGTTCCGGAAACATGTCCACTCCGACTTGGTGATGAAATCGTGGAGATCAATGGAAGTCAATGCCCGGACATGTCGTTGAGCTGGTTGGTCTGCCACCTCCAATCCTGCACCAGCATCCACGCCCGAGTGCTTTCCGCGAAGACGACTAATGATCAAATACAGTGAAAGCAACTATTTTAAAAATTCAACCTACTGTCAACTTTAATAGTACCATGATTTCATACCATTTTAAACTGTACAGCTCACCCATCCCCCTCCAGTTCACTCCAAACTATTTTTCTTTTCTCCCAAATCCCCCGCCCCCTTCCACCCCTGATTTACGTTTTTCTCGAGAATACTCTGCGAAAAATACCGTCTAATCTTATTTTTACAAATCTGGGACATCGGCCTTACCAACTTATTGTTGGGTGACTGCCGTCTGTTCATCGAATTTTAATACCTTATTGAGGACGCTAATAGTTGCCTAGGCGAGGCCGGCGGACAGTGGGTAGAATCCATAAGTCCTCTGGTCATTGCTGGTGAATCCAATTAGCACCACAGCAGTAACATCTCCCTACCTCCCCCACCCTTATATTTCCAGCCCGGAGCCACGTTAAAACACTTGGCTTCGA